TTGTACTACTATTCCTACTTCACGGTTTTTCACTTATCGTGGGTCTTCAGGGTACGGATCCCTCGCGATAAACGAGGGACTGCTGTAGTTTAATTCTTACAATATTGACGATCTAAGCACCTAGCTGTAACACTTCCAGTGCAGCCTGGGGTTCTTCCAGTAGAAATATTAGAATGTTTGTCGTTCAAGCTGGGCTAATAGCTAGCTTAATGAGCTCTTTTTAAATAATTTCAGGCTCAGGAAATAACTCTTTCTCAAAAATATCATACATGTGTGATAAAACGCCTCAAAAGTTTTTCAGTTTACAGTTGGTTTAATTATGAAGGCAGCAATCCACCTCATTCAGATTCACTGTTAGCTCATCTGTCTGGTCAGATGATCTGGGAGCCATCTACCACAGGTTAGATGTTAATTCTTAACCTTTCCACAAAATCTCCCTGCAAAATATTTATTTCGTTCTCATCACCTCTTACGTCATCTTATTTAATTGTTTTAACTTTCTGTTCCTCCTTCAGATCTGGATTACTGCCATGCAACAAAAACTAAAGACAGCGACTTTCTTCTGGCCAGGTTCTGACGTCCCCATCAATGGCACCCACCCAAATTTCTACAAGAAGTATGATCGGTAAGCGTGACAGTTGGTGTCAATGCACCTTTGAATGTAACTGCATGGTGTGATTCCTAATGGCAACAGTCCCTTCACTAAATGAAGCATCTGTGTGTGCAGGGGTGTCACGTTTGAGACCAGAGTGTCGACTCTGTTCGAGTGGCTCAGTTTACCTGAAAACGAAAGGTTCTGCCTGTTCCTTATTGGAATTCAACGATTACCAAGTCCGAAAATCACGACTAAACTGTTTTGTTTTTATTTCAGACCTGACTTTTATACTTTGTACCTGGAAGAACCTGACACTTCAGGACATAGACACGGCCCAAACAGTCCAGAGGTGAGTAATCCACTAAACCTGAAGATGAATGCTGGTTGGTAATTATCCAGAATAACAACTGACAGCGTAAAAATTAAAAATTAAAAATAAAAGATAGAGAGAGAGGCTGACAGCAGCAATGCTAATGGCTGTTTGTTTTTTGTTTTTTCTAATGTGTGATTTAGTTGGATTTTAACTTGGAAAAAAAATTCTGGTCGTCCATTTTTAGGATTATCAGAAAAAAAATACACTTTGACAGTTTGTAAAAACGTACATTTGACTTTAGACTTTAACATGTTTGCGCTTTGAACCAGTTCTGATATTTTTGTGACGTTCGAAACAAAGGTACAGTTAAACCAAACAAACTTTACTATGAACACTGTGAGTACCATTTTCTGACAATTTTCATTTTAAAAGTGAGCGATTCCCCTAACATTCATAAATTAAAATAAATATATTTAAAATCTACACATTTCTGATGACGTAGTAAATAATTTAAAAAATCTTGTATTCCTTTGCCCATCACCTTTAATGTCAGTTTTATACTAAGATCATTCTATTTTGTGAAATAATAGAATATAGACATTTGATCAGACTTTGAAAATATTATATTGTGTCATATCATGCTCAGAGTATCTATTGTAAATGACTCTCAGCTACTACCACATGAAGGTTTAGGTGTTTGCTGATGTCAGTCAGCTGGAGCTGTATAAAAATGAGCTGACTCCACATTTTGTAGAGCTACAGTACATTCAGTCATTCCATTTAAATTTGTCCTGTGGTTCAGGAAATATTAAGGTAACAAGCAAATACTTTGTCTGCATCATGATTTAAGTTAGTTAGAGTTTAAAGTGTCAACAGATGAAAAGACCAAACAGGAAGTGGTAGATAAAGAGGCTTTCATTTTGTAGGGGAAGAGAAGTATGCCGGTCGGGAATCTGAGGAACAGGAGTTTGTAGATGTTTTGATGGGGTGATGTGAAACAGACCTGAATGTTTGTTTACGTCCTAACGTTTCTGAAGTTAAAGGAGGAGGATTTCCAGGATTCCAGGAACGAGGAGATGTGTGGAAATTCCAGTTTTTTTTTTTTTCTGGTTAATGGAGGTTGTAGCAGCGAGGTGGAGAGCAGATGGGTTGACCTCTCCAGAATGAGGAATATCCAACTTTGAGTAACAGCAGGGAGGTTGAGAACAGATAACACACAGCTGTTTTGGGGACATGCAGAACTTAATGACATCTACCTTGAGTCTGTGTTGTTGTCTGTGAAATGTCCAAATTACATGGCCACACCGATGGAACATGACTGAGTAAAAATCCCCAAGATCTGATCCATTCAGCCCAAAGCATTTGAGTCCGGGTACTCGAGACATGAAACCAAACCATCATAAAGGCAAGCAGTGTGATCAGGTCCAAATTTACTGCCGACGACTTCCTTGATTGTAGCTAAAAACCAGCACCAGCTGAATCCAAAAAGCAGGAACCAGTTATCGTAAATCCAATTAAATATGCGTCCTTAAAATCCACAGATGGCAGCAGAGATAGACACATCATCAAGTCTTCCAGTCGATGAGATATCCAGCTGCGTACATGCCAATAGGGTAAATCGGCTCGCCTAAAGCCTGTCTTCTCTTCGAAGAAATGCTGTAAATTGAGTTGAGGGACCAACTGGTCAAAACAAGTCCATAATTGTGGTTCGGAAGAAATGCAAGAGAGTCTCAGAAGCAGTTTCACAGACATACAGAGCAGCAAAGCGGAGAGGGAGGATGTGATGTATTCTGTAAGATGCCAGTCTTGCCAGGTCTCTCTTGTAAAATAGATCTTTTGATCTCAATGGGACAAACCTGGTTAAGTAAAGGTTATTATTATTATTCTCAACTGGTCTGGGTGCTGGTGAAGCAGCACCACATCAGGAAACTCACCTCTCCACTCTGTAAGGAAGAAGGTTAGTGCAGAAAAGAGTAGCAATATAATGCCTGGAATCCTTACAGTACCTCCCCCTCAACGGTCACCACCCAGTGACCTCTAACATTTCTCTGGATGTGTCAGACGAAAATTTCTACTTTTTATAAAATTCTTAAATTATTACCAATCAGTTTTATTACCACCAGTTTACAAATCTAAAACATTTAGTTTGTAATAGGCAAGTCTTCAACAAAAATTGTTCATTTATGCATTTTTTACTTATTTTGACGCGCTTTCATTGATAAAGAAAATGACCTACTTTATAAAGATAATTTTGTTTCTTTGTATTTGTAACCATGAATCTAGTTTTCTACAGTAACTCAAACTGTTTTCTGTCCTTTAGGTGATTTCAGCTTTGGAGAAAGTCGACAAAATTCTGAGGATGATCCTGAGCGGCCTCAAAACAAGAGACCTCCACCGATGTGTCAACATTATGATTGTATCTGACCACGGTGAGATAAAAGCTCACTTGATTGTTTTTCACATGGACACTTTTATTCCAAAGTTGTGCATCTTGTTTAAATCTCAGTGGTTTCACAGCACAGACGCATGACATCTTTATATAACACGTGCACCAACGAAGCAGCTCATTGTGGTCCTCTGAGTGGGCTTCAAATGTTTGGTTCAGTTGATTTACTGCACCTGATGCAGGGAAAACTACAGGCCAGTGGCTGTAATGAAATAAAATGTGGGAGTCAACTAGAAAAAACAGAACACTGGGGACCATATGTTTGGCCCTGTAATTATATGACAGATCTGTGTTTTGAAGTTTGTGTGGCCAGGGCGATGCCCAGCAGAGATTAAAAACAAAAAACATCCCCCACTCCTATAGAAGATATATGTTTCAAGGCACTGCAGTAGTTATTACTCTGCTGTTTGTCACAAAGAATGGCTCAGAGGAGTTCACACGTCACACCCTGTTTGCACTGGAAATGTAAGAATGCAAATCACTTTCTGGGAATCTTAAAGCGATAGTTCGGATCTTTTAAAGCATGGTTTGATAGAAACAATATCTTACCTGTTGTAGATAGCACTTTGAACGACATTGGCTTGGAGAAATGGTGCTTATATTCATTTATGTTTAAGTGAAACTGCATCAAAATGGGACGAAATACAAACAATATATTTTTTTTAAATTACTGCCCATCACCAAAGCCAAAATGCCAATGATGTTTGTATGTAGTGTTGGCAGATTATGTCATGAACAACTGCACAGATTTTAATGAAATGCTAAAAGTAATTACTGGATCTACTTTTACAACAGCTTAACTTTTGGAACCAATTCAAAATGGCTGCCAACCTTAGCAAACACACAAATACTGTAACTCAGCCATTTTTAAGGAATTTGAGCTAAAATATCATAATAGCTAAGAGACATCCCCAACTTTTACTAAGAACTCTGATTGTGCAAGATGTTTTCAAAACTTTGCCTTTAACCTACGGAGTCAGTCTTTTCAGTTTGTTAGCAAAATATCTCATGGATCACTGGACAGATTTAAATGCAACTTTCAGGAATTAATCAGATGCACATCTACTACTGTTTAACTTTTGGACTCAACCCAATTGAAGATGCTGCCACAGTTATTCAACCTTTACATGCATTAAATGGCTATAATTCAGTCAATTGTACTGAAACTGAGGTAAAACATGGGGTGGTAGTAGCTGAGACTTATTCACAACGCATACGCTGAGCTCTACACACAACACATTTACTTAAAGCTCTGCCAATAACTCTACGCATCAACACTGCCTGACAGTTAGCAAAATATATCCTTTAGTAAAACTCACATAAAGCTCAAATTTGGGGTGGTAGTAGCTGAGAGTCACCTTCAACTCAGCTTAAGACATTTTACAACTCAAAGCAACATAAAGAAAGAAGAATGGAAAAAATATGTCCCTTACTACGTTTGCAATCTGATCTTTTCTTGCTAAAAACACCTTCTTCAAGAGGTTTTTGTTGTTGTTTGTTGACAGATTATGACACTCCATTTTGTCCTTTTTGTCACCAGGGATGGAAGAGGCTTCCTGCCAACGAGCAGAGTTTGTGTCAAATTACCAGGAACACCTGTCTGACTTCACCATCATCCAAGGCCCTGCTGCTCGCATCCGACCGAAGCGCCTCCCAGATGAATACTTCTCTTGTGAGTTCTTGTCCGCAAAAACCTCCTTTCCATCTTTTTGTAAAATTATCCCTGAGTGAGTTTGGTTAAAACCAGCAAAGCTGACTCTGATCTGTTTCCCCCCATCCTCAGTCGACTACGAGGGCCTGGTTAAGAACCTGTCGGTATGTGAACTATTCCAGACGGGACTTCTGTATTGATAAGAAGAATGAAAGATTTTCTGCTCACGTGACTTTGTGACAAACAATCCCATCCTCCCTCTGCTCTGTGTTTATTCTCCCCGTTCGTGTGCATTCTGAAGTGCAGGAAGGACGACCAGGCGATGAGGCCCTACCTCAAAGAAAACCTCCCCAAAAGGATGCATTTCGCTAACAACAAACGCATAGAGCGAGGCCACCTGTACATGAAGTCGGGCTGGCAGGCGGCGCTGTGAGTATGGATCTCAGTTTAAGGGTTTTACCGTCAGTTCACCAGACTGAGTCGGGTCAGGATCTATTAAAACTAGTTAACGTTACGTCATCACTTTAAGATCTAGTGAAGGTCTTGATTGAAGGCCATCTCTTCTGTTTCCCACATTGTGTTGTACAGATTCTGTTCTGTCTGGGTCAAGCTTCAGATGGATTTTAACTCCAGGGAAATTCACAGTGGACTCAATTTTCAGTTTCTAGGTTTGCAAAGCCAGCCCAGATCATGACCCCTCCACCACCGTGCCTAACAATTGGCATTACCAATTTGTGTTTTGGGTGTTTGTGCATTCACACCCAAATGTTCTCAGTTTGGTCTCATCTGGTCTGTAGACACTGTTTTAAAAGTGTTCAAACCAGTCACACCAAAGCATGACTGTTCTTTTTAAGGAGAGAAGAGCCGTTTCCATGGCAACCACTGCAGAAAAAGCCACACTTCTTTAGATTTTTCCAAATTTTAATGTTTTGCATCTGCGTTTTATTTCAGTGTTTCGTTGCAGATGTGTCTCATCCTAGATGTAAACACACAACTGCTTCAGATTAAAACACAAGGTTAGATTTTCTTTTGAGGCTCTGCCTTTTGTACTTGATAAACAAATCAATGCTTTTGATTTGCTGAATGTTGGATAATTTAATTATCCTGTCATCAACTCATTAATCAAATAAGCCACACAGAGAAATGCGAGAAGATCTTTTCAACCCAGGTTTAATCCTTGCAAGAGGGTGAGGCATTGAAAACAGGCATTAAATATGTTTTAAGAAGCCCTGATCACAAGGTCTGCCTGCGGACGACGAGTTAGCAACAGCTTAAATACCCGTTATTAACAGAGGCGAGGTCAAGACGACCTCTGCTTCACAGCTCACAGTTGTTGAAGGCATCAGAGTTTATCAGTTATCAGACTCCTCTCTGAGTAGACATAAACTTTCTTGACTTCACATACATGGTTCATATTAATAAGTGAAAACATCCATGACCTTTACATAACTTCCCCCATCACTGCACTTGGCTACTACTTATTCTCCTTATGTTCGTGGAAGCAGTAGGCGTGGACCAACAACTGTTATGCACCGCTGCTGATTTGTATTTTTATTTTTTTCTGAGTTTTTGATCAACAAATATCACATTCTGCTTTGGTGTGTAAAATCTTTGACTTGAACCAAATTTTGTTATCTTTTTATGCTGACTTCATGAGCCCAGAAATTTATAAATCGCTGTAGAAAAAGGACTTCATCTTCAAGATTTTAAGCAAACCTGTGTTGTTGTCTCAGTTTACTTATGTATCAGTTGGATAATGTTTTACTTCGTTAATGCATTGATTTAAAAAAAAAATGTAATTGATTTTTACAAACAGCTCCTTAAAATGTCCTAAACGGACCACTTGAAGCGATGCCACGGTGCCGTTTTCAATGGATTAGCTGTTGAGTAATGATGGAAACGGTGGTGGAGTTTGTCTGAGGTTGACTGGAAGTAATTTGCAGAACTGAGACACTCTTTGTTCAAATAGCAGAGGTGTTTGAGCCAAAAAGAAGAGTTGGTTTAAATAGGAAACACTGTCGGTATAATAGAAACAATGTGCAAGTCAAATAAGGTTAGATTTATCCACCCGGATTATAGAGCATGCATCGGGACATTTATCTTGCTACATTTACAGTGATTAATTATGACTGTATTTATGTGTAACAAATAAATCATGTTGAGAAGGGGAAATACAAATTACAGCCGTTGATCTGTGAAAAAAATCCTTCACACTGGAAACATAAATCCACCAACATGGCACATGTAATAAACGCAACTTAATGGGATCGTGTTTTAAATGTTTGTTTATATGAATGAGTGAAAAGCCTCTGTCATTTTTTGGTTTTGTCTCCTCAGGAACCAAGAGGAAGTGAAATATTGCAGCGGTGGATTCCACGGCTCAGATAACCTCTTCACCAACATGCAGGTCAGAGGAGGGAGGCTGGTGTTTGTCTGACAGTGTGGAAGACTAACAGGAAGTTCACTTGCTTTAAAACACGAGTCTTAAGAGTTTGGTTTTAAAGTACCGTATTTGTCGCCAAACATGTCGCACCACCATATAAGTCGCATCAGTTCAAATATGTCTAATAAAGTGAAAGAAAAAAAACATAAATATGTCGCTTTGCTGTATAAGTTGCATCTATTATGCGTCACCACTGACAACCAGGAAATGTGGGCTGGCATTGTGCCAAAAATTGATTGGTTGCCAAATGGCGGTCAAGGGAGCATGTACGGGAGGACTTTAACAAGAATTTAACGAGAGTAACACTTAAAAACAATTATTTATTTGCTCGACATTATAGCAAAGGTGTGTCTCAGTTGAACTTTGACTTAATAAATGCACTTCAGTGGTCAAATCAGCTGCATTTCTCCTGGGCAGCACGGTGAAATGCAGCTGATTTGACGTTTGCTCCAGGTGTTCTGGAACGAGACGAAGGTGGCTTTGTATGGCAAGCCAAGTGTCTCATTAATAGCCACTTTTACGTATTAATGAGACTCTTGGTTTGCCGTATTAGTCGAGGGCCTTCTAGCGGCTGAAAATGGTAGTGTTCAATATTTTCCATGTCAAAATGAATGAAATGGTCAGATCTTAGTCAAAAATTGGTTTTAAATATGGGAAAAATACGAATATGAGTTGCTTCTGTATATAAGTTTCAGGACTTGCAAATTTATGCAAAAAGGTGTGACTTATATGGCAAAAAATACAGCAAAGTATTAAAAAAACATCTAAAATGTGATGTCAAATCACAAACACTTGACGGCTGTGGAAAATCTCTTGTTAGAAGTTTTGTTTCCTTCCACCCACACATGTGTAGTTTTGGATTTCATGTCACCTTAACCCTCGTTTTCACCACGTCTGTGCGTCTTCACAGTTTACTTACTGCTGAAATGAGGCGAAAGCTCTGAGCTGCTAAAAAAGAACTGTTTGAAAACGTCTTTAAATGCCACAAAATCATCCGTCTTTGAATACAAATCTGTAAACCTTTTCACGGTTTAGATCCGTTCCCTGCTGTAGTTCATTGTCAACATTTACACAAGACTTAAATACAATGGTAAATGTTTGACATTGTGTTGTTTACTGAGGGTCTAAATGAAGGTTTCCAGTTCACAAACCAATGTTGTTTAGAAAGGTAATCTATCATGCGCACTGAAACCTCTGAAAATAAATTAATAATAATGTTTTGTATCTGTTTCAGGCTATTTTTATTGGCTATGGTCCATCATTTAAGACGAGCACAGTCGTGCCCCCGTTTGAAAACATTGAACTGTATAACCTCATGTGTGGTGAGTTTCTTTCTTTGCGTGTCTTCTCTCTCCTGTAGCTGTTTCACATTCTTCTTTCTCAAGCTGGTAGTTGAGTTTGGTCATATCTGCAACCTGTTAATCCCTCTAATTTGTAACAGGTGTGATCTTGACGTGTCTCAGTCCTCTGTATGAAAACCAGCGAGGAAAACAAAAAAGAATATTCTTAGAGTTGCATGTCATTTCATTAGAATAATCTGTTAACCTGCTGAAAATGCAAATTTCTGGTAAAAATACAGTAAAATGTATCGCATCCTTAATATCAAAGTATAAGAGAAACACTGGTCTCTCAACGCAATTGATAAAATTTTCTCGACGAGAAGACAGGGTACAGGAGAGCCCTCATGCCCTGAAGCGACACTTGTTTCAGGATACACCATGGATTCCTAGGGCCAGTTGAAGATGGTGTGTCTGTCCGTATTTTCCGTTGAGGATGTAGAAGAGGCGTACATAATTGGTCTTATGATAGCGAGATTTCTGCTTTTTTGAATCGGCGGGTTTCTGGCTTATCGACAAACTCGGAAGATGGCGGCAGCGGATCTGGCAAATTTTGAAACTGCCTGCCATGTGTGAATGAATGTGCCATGTTTTGAGCGCCCAGACTCAGATGATTTCTGAGAATCGCAGGCCACTTGCGGCTTCTGGAACTCGCCGGCGTGAAGGATTCGACCTTTGGGAAGGCTACAAGTAGAACTTTTGAAGGCAGACATAAAAAAAATCATGCAGAGTCTGCCTGTCCCAAAACCATTGTTGTTATCAAATATGGCTTCCCCACTTGGCTTTGAATAGGCCAGATATCTCAAATTTCACCCAGAGGTTATGTGAATTATGACGCTCTGCTGCTCCTCCCCTCTTCCCGAGAACGTCTGTGGACTTCTCAGAACTGAGCCGCTGATAGACACTGTACCATATTATCAGAACTATGGAACTTTCTGGAGGTGTCTACGGACAACTGCCTTTGTTGACCTCCTCATGCATTATGATGCCATTGTATGTTGCTGTTTATGTTGTGAGGTCTTTTTTTGCAACTTTCGGCCAGGACATGGTGCGAGAGACGATTTTTTTTTACTTCCTCCGCCCTCGTGTTCTCTTTTTCTTATCTACTTTGTATGTATGTATGTCTCTCTTGTAAATGAGTCCTCGAGGCTCAGTGGAAACTAACCTGTGTAAATAAAGGTTGAATGAATAAGAGAAACACAACATTTCTCCTGTTATTGTCCTGATGCGTGTTGCTGTCCTCAAGAAAACTCAGTTTTTGTTTCTGTGTAAAAACGTCCTCTGAATAAACTGCTAAAAATATCTCTAATGATGACATTTTGTGGTGTAAAAATAAAACTGTCTTTTTATTTTGTAAAACCTGATGGTGCAGTCTGGAGTGGTCAGGTCCTTCATCCCTTACATCTTGTCTTGTTTTTCCCTTTGTGTTCCTCAGATCTTCTTGGGGTTCGTCCGTCTCCAAACAACGGGACCCATGGCAGTCTGAACCATCTCCTGAAGCATCCGGTCTACTCACCGGTGCACCCGGCGCAGCTCTCCCATGACTCCCACTGTGAGGCCTCAGCCTCCATCCCAACTTACAGCCTGCAGTGCAACTGCTCATCTCAAAGCCCTGAAATGGTTCGTTCCGGTCACACTCCTCTGATTGTTCGACACTTCTAAATCAGTCGTTTGGAGGTTTTTGTGGGATGCTGAGTAGCTAAAATACTTTGCGCTATTTTAGCTACTCATATCAAAACGTTCAGCTCATTCAGTAAAACATGTAATGATTTGTGGTTTGTGCAACTTTTGTAGTTTTTCAGAATATTAACATTTGTTTACAAATATTTTCCCCATAAAACCATTAAAATGTCTTAAATTCCTTCAAAAACATTTTCTTGGAAATTTCCTTCAGCTTACTTTTGTTTTGTCTTCTTTTGCTTCTTTGAGCTTTAAACTACGGTTTTGTTATTTTGGGGTTTTAACTAACATTTATTTTAGCTCTTAGCTACTTTTAGCTTTTAGCTAGCCTTTTGCTCCTTTTATCCAGTGTTCTTTTTTAGGCTTTTAGCTAATGTTTACTCCTTTCACCTTGTAGTGTTCAACATCCTTTAACTTGTAGTTAGCATTTAGCTTCTTTTAGCTGTCTTTTTAGCTCACGTTCTCCATTTAGATTTTTGCTATTTTGTATTTCCAACTAGCCTTTTGATGGTTTTAGCTTTGAGCAACTTTTTTCTACTTTTAACTTTCGGTTATTCGTCAGCTTCCTTTGGCTTTTAGCTAACATTTTGCTTCTTTTTAAACTTTAGCTAACGTTTTACTACTTGTAGGTTCTAGCTAGCCTTTGATACTTTTAGTTAGCACTTGGCATATTTTATATTTTAGCTAGTGTTTTGCCACTTATAGGTCCTACTTATAAGATCACTTTGATACCTTTAGTTAGCTGTTTTATACTTTTCATACTTTTAATTAGCTGTTTGCTACTTTTGATACCTTTAGTTAGCTGTTTGCTACTTTTAGCTTTTGGCTGTTATTCTGAGCCTTTTAGCTATAACATTTTCAGCTTCTTCAGTAAATCTCAGCCGTCATTCAGCTCTCATTGTTTAGTTTCTTTAATTATATTTCACGTATTTTAAATCCAAACATTCAAAATCTTGTACTTGAAAAACTTCTTTGATTTTATTTGTAATATTTGTATTCATTAATTTTTATCTGCCACTGCTGATTGTCTCACAAAGTATTCAATGTTTTTTTTAAAGTGGTTGTTGTTGTTTTCAGGAAGCAGCTATGGACACAAAATTTCTGGCAGCTAATTTTGGTGAGCACTGAGTTCTTCATTTTGTGATTAAAATCCATTTTTAGGGATATTTTTGAGCAATGATGCAAATTTCCTTCTTCTTTTTTTAAGACAAAAGTGTTTTACATCGCCTCCACCATCCTTTCGGAGCACCTCAGGTGGTCCAGTCGGACGCCAGCTTTTGTCTGCTCTACCACTCCGACTACCTGAGCGGATACAGCAAAGACCGCCTCATGCCGCTCTGGGTGTCGTACACCATCCAGCCTCTGGTGAGCATTCAGCTCGGAGCTCTCTGTCATTTCTAAACTTAGCCCATCAGCCGAAGTTGTCCCGGCTGTATTTCTTCAGTGGTTAGGGTTTGGCAGCACATGGGAGGAGGTTGTTCAGCATCTGAATTCCTTTTCTAGACAGCTGGATTTCATCTTCTCTGCTAGTTTGGGCTTATAGCAGTCTTGTCTTTCTAACTATGTGGTTGAGCCTTCATGTAAATCACAGCTTCAGGCAAAGTAACGCATTCCCAGGAGATTTTACACTTTCACATTATTCTTTCTGAGTGGCTGAGCAAGTGTATGTGGTATCCAAATACAATACGGACAAAATACACTCTTATTCTTATAGACTCGGACGTGCCACGACATGAATAGTTTCATTGTGAAACATTCACAATAGACTTGTTCCTCGTGCAAACTCCAAACATCATCTTTCAAAGTTATCATTGTTAGGTTTTCAGCATTAGATTAAGTTCAAACAGAACTCAGGACCTTTAATTTTAAAAATATGTACTCGCATTTGTCTCTAGCGTACTTTAGGTAGTGTCTCACTGAGCAGGGACTTGTTGGCAAACAGCACTCACAAGGAGAGTCTGCAAAATGTCTCAAAATATTCTCAGTTACCTTGAGGCTCAGATTATTGTACTTGAATTTACAAAATTATATTTGTGCAACAGTTTTATCCACTGAACAGACACAGCTGTCATGGGTGTCTCAAATCCATCGTAAAAACTTTCTCAGTTTGGTTTCTGCAACGCACGGGAGCTTTTTTCAGCTGCACTGGAGCTCCTGCAACAGAACATGTCTAAAAACCACGCTGAGAATAGACGATATTTATTTAAAAGTGCCTCCATCTTAATCTGCCTACAGTGAATAGATGTCATGTGAACATGGGGGCGGCGGCCAACGTGTGTAAAAAGTGGGCTGAATATAAGTTGTGCTGCCATGTTTTTTTCAGAGAGCATTTTATAAACAAACCATCCTTTTTCAATTTTTCCATCATGAACATGAACCTTTTGTTTGCTAACTGAGTCGTGTAGAACTTGAGATGTACATTTTTGTGATTATTATTGTTATGATTAATATTGCACCCGCTTTGAATGTCATCAGCCATTAAATGGCTGTTATCAGTTGTAATCATCCCAATAGGTTGTGTTCAGACTGCCCCTCCTGTACCTCCTATTAGGTTTAAAGGTATATTGTTAGCACTGATGATAGGGTCACGTGGTTAGGTTAACAGTAAAGGGTCTGGGGGTTAGGTTTAGGGTCTGGGTTAGGTTTAGGAAAAGTTACATAAAGCTCACAAAAAAAAACACTTCCTGTTTTACATGCGTGCAAAGCTGCATATTATCAAAGATAACGTCCATTTAAAACTACTAGGATGTAGGAAGGACAGTCGGACCACAACCTATGAGGATGATGATAACTAATAGCATTAAATGGGCTGATAACATCCAAAGCTGCTGAATATTAATATTTCTTTGAGCATCGCACGGTCTGACCTTGGGGTAAATTTTCATCAGCGTCCACTCCAGGGAGGATTGGCAGCTGATTTAAAAGTTGTCCACTAGCGAATCATTTTTCTAACTGTAGATGGATATACATCAAATTGTTTGGAGATTACTTCGCCACCCTTTTCAGATTGATGTTGCTTCTCTAGGGGGTCTTCTTTCAGGGTCTTTGCTAATGTCTTTCCATTTTGGCATTGTATTAACACACACATGTATGCTTTAAACCAGTGGTTCCCAGCTCTGGTCCTTGAGGAACACCATCCTGCATGATTTAGTCGTTTCCCTGCTTTGACACACCTGATTTGAATATATGGGTGATTTGCAGGCTCCTGCAGAACTTGAGGAAGTAATAAAAGCACTGAATCAGGTGTGTTGGAGCAGGGAAACAAGTAACACATGCAGGATGGTGTTCGTCGAGGTCCAAGTTTGGAATCACAGGGTGTCCAATCCCAGTCCGCGAGGCCTGTTATCCTGCATGTTTTATTGTTCTCTGCTCCAGCCCAGCTGATTCAATTCAATGGTTGAATTACATCGTCATGTTCTGCAGTCAC